AACATTTTGAAAACGATGACGTCACGAGAATCATGTGATTTCCCTGCCCAGGCTTTTTCAAACACAAATCCAACCAGTTGATTGTTGGGTTTAGAAATTCCTCCGGGGTAGAGTGCACGGAAAACATTTGATGCGCGTTTTCAGAGTGAAACCTCCGTTTTCGTAGTGTGGACGAGGGTTTAAGAACAGCCGGAACAATAGATCCCCTTTGTGACTTGAATGACTATAAAACTCTTCATTGGTTTTTTCTAAGTCTCTAAATATTGTCTTTTTTTCTCATTTGCTCTCTGTTTACGCAATGAACAACAACCAGGTGCGTATTTAGGTGAAGTGGTGACCGATTTTTGGAATAACGAGTGCGGAATGCGCAAGCTTCTGGAGGGATCCGAGGGCATGCTCCCCCATGAAATCGTTTGGATTTAAAATCCTTAAAGTCTCCTTTCCTGGGTTTTTGAGTCATTCCGAAAAATCTCACCGTTTTCCGCAAAACGTTGGAAACCGGTATGGATCCTCGCCAGAGACAGAGACTGTTTAGTGACTATTGGCTATTTATTGTTTAGTGACAGTGTTCGAGACCGTGAAGCATTCACAAATAAACTTACATCAGTAATTTTGATATGTCTACACAATAATGACATTAGCTATATGGCAAGGTATTATCACATTTTGATTAGCAGGATAAGACGCGACTTTTGACAAAGTTTTAAAAAAATATGTACATGGAGTTCCACCTTAAAGATTTGAAAATTCTTCTACACGAGGAAAACCTCAAAGATTTGGGGGAGGGGGAGGAGGAGGTGGAGGGGGTGGGGGTGGGGGCAGACCAAAACCAATATTAGTTCCCCTGGGACCTGGCATGGGGTATCTTGGAACAAATCCTGGTGGTGGACCCACTGGCCAGTGTCCCGGCACCTGCTGAGCACCAATCAAGGGCCTAGATGGTGAAAACGAGGGAATGGGTACATTTCCAATAAGACCAGGATGTGGTCCAGGGAAAGGTCCCATAGCCTGTGGTGGCATCATATTCAATGGACCTCTTGGAGGTAGCCCTCTTGGGGGCACCATGTGTCTCATCCCAAAGGGAGGCAAGTCTTGTGTTGGGTGGCTCATAAACGGGCTCTGTGGTGGAAAGGCAGGCCTCTGCACCGCATGAGGTGAGGCCTGGGGAGGTAAGGAATCCCCTGGCTGAGGAACAGGGAATCTGTAAGCTGGGTGTTGTAATGGAGGGAGATTAGTGTCGGGGACTGCCTGATTCTGGTTCTGATTGCTTAGTTGTCCTCTCCCACGACTTTGCCAAGTTCTTTTCCTGTCACCTGTAAAAATAAATACAGTTCAACCGCTATTAAACGGCCACCCTCGGGGAAATGGATAGTGGCCGCTTAAAAGGGGCTGGCTGCTTAACACACTGAGATAAAAACAATAGAAAAACCTCATTGGCACTTGGATTACTGGCCGCCTAATAGGGGTGGCCGTTCAATAGATGGCCGCTTAATAGGGGTTTAACTGTATTGCGATATTTATGACCAGGCACTCAAATCAATTCATGGAGCCGGTGCGGGTACACTTTGTTCTTGGTCAAAACACTGTTATCTCTAACCAAGTGTGCAAACTAGTGCAGTCACATGCTACATGTTAGAGTCAAGTGTTCCACCTTACAGCCACTTGTTCCAGCCACTGACAATGTCAGCTATCTGACCCAGCAAATTCCTGTGATTTAGTACAATATGGCTCATGTCTATTGACCCATCGCAATAAAATTGACAAATTAACCAATTTCAAACCATTACATGTAACCTGTAAATATGCAATCATAGCATTCCATCAAGTACGTTCCGCCAGGCCCAACCTTTTTTTTTTACAAAAGAGTGGGCTTGCATCTCTGTGCACTTCATATCCTTGGAAGTGAAGTTGACATAGCTAGCCATTTTCAGTAATTTCTTTAATTCACTTTTAACAAGAAACACCATTGTTATTTACAAACCTCTGATAGGTCCCTGGCGGTCACCGTTTCCACTCTCTTTCTTGACATCACTTGCACACGGCTCTTTTCTAGCCATTCTGTAAATTATTAGAAAAAAAGGTGTTTTACCCCAGTTGCCTGATCAATGAAACAAGATTTAATTTAAATTATGTGACGCAAGCCACACGTGTTTATTTTTGACATCTTTTATAGGGGTTTCATTAACATTTTCAACAGGAGGGCAACTGGTTTTAACAGACTGGAAAAACTCTTTGAACTGAACTTCTTTATGAGAAAAACGTTCCTGTAGATGGTCAAACTAGGCGGGTAAAATCATCCTCACAGATACAGTATGCAATTTGCCCAGTGATTGGCCCTAAATGAAACTCCTGCTTTTAACTGTGATCAACATACTGTGGTTTTTACCTTTCTTTCTTTTTACTGGCCCTCGCTTTAGATTCTTCCTCGTCATCAGAATATTCAATGGCCTGAAATAAACATAATGGCATTTTACTGTGTGAGCGTCAGGATTTTGGTTCTTTTCTTTAGTCTCGTCATAAGGATTCCATTTTTGTGCTTTTGGCACGCAAAAATAAGTTCAATGCACAACTTCACAGCATAATTAACTTAATATGTTCATAGATAGATGCCTCTTTTCAAGTAATATTATAACATAGATATCAAACTTAGCATATGTGAGAGTGCATCATAATCATAATTCAAAGATGTACGTCCATGATGTGAGGAAAGTAAACTTTGCTATGCGAGAGGAATTAATCTCCATTGGCAACGTTTGTTTAAAATAATTTTTGATCCACGCTTTTAGCTGTGCATCATCTAGTTATGATATGCTGAGAGCATTTGGAGAGAACTCCAAACTTGAATGAAGTTCACATTGTGCCACAAGGTGACTGTTACTGTTCTTCTTCTCTCCAAACTTCCTGCTTGCATCAATAACGATAAGAAAAGGTAGTCATATGAATGCTAGTTCAATTAAGGATTCACACTATCAGGGTCATGGGGTGAATTGCATGAGCCTTTAGGCGAGTGTAATTTGAATAAATCAAACACGAGAGACAGTGTTTCATCAGGATATCCAAACACCAAGAAGAGAGTTGAAAATACGGTGCACTGTGGAGTATTTTTGACGAAATTTGAGGTGTTTGGACAGCAATGAAACACAGTCTCGAGTGTTTGATATATCTTCTCAATCGAAATATTAAAACTAAGGAGTAAATGGAGAAGAAAAATCATCAAAATCTACGCTAATTAAGAGCGGCTATCCTAATCTCCTTCACAGTTGTGATTTTCTTTTTGTTTTAACTTGATGAATTATTAAATAAATGAGTTTGAGAAGGAATTTTCAAATATCTCGAGTAGAGCAAATCCTTAATTGACTGAGCTTTCATACAATTAATTTATACGGTTTACTGACCAAGCTTGTTCAGTCAAGATGGCTGGATATTGACCAAGTTCTTTTCTTGCAAGTTTATGGACCAAGACGGAGTCGAGGTCCATAAACTCACAAAAAAGAACAAGGCCAATATCCAGCCATCTTGACTGAACAACCTTGGTCAATAAAGGATTTATTATAAGGTTTTCGGGGAAATTTTTCTTGTAGGACACGGCGGGTAGTCCCGAGCGGGCAAGATAGCTCCATCTTGCCCGCTCGGGTAGCCAATCACAGC